TGTATACTTCTATTTGATGATTTCTGTGTCAAACATTATATGGAAATGTTTCCAAGTAAAGTCGATACTAACTGTGAATGAATAGAACAAAATAAATTGCCTGTGATGGAAAAAAAAATAAATCTTAAATAATAAAAAAAAAAAAGAGATTCCATAAAGCATAAAAAGATAGTTTGAGTCAACTGTTACCAGTCTAGATGGGGCTCCCTATATGAATTTCTCTTCTACCAGAGATTGTGCATGCTAAAAGTGTGTTGCGCCTATGTATTCCATAGCATGTTAGTTGTGTTATTATAACTGCATGTTGTCAAACATTGCATGTATTATTTATTGTATATCTTGCTTTGGGGGTTAGCGTGGGATGTGGAACCAGTCTTGGTTGGCGAATGTTGCCCTAGTTTGTTCCTTTTCCTTGGAAGTGTAGGATTCTATTGTGAGAGCATGTCACAATGAATTGATTTATTCAGTTTGTGTACACTTAGATTTCCACATTGCTGTGTTTAAATGCACGTGTGTGGCTTTTAATAGAGCCAGTGAGGTTGAAGATAGAGAGCATGGAGAACGTGAACTATTATAGTTCTTGGAGCCAAGGTCATGGGAGGTGGGGAAATTAACCTAAGCCACACGTCACAGGATTGGCCTTTCTCAGAGAAGGGTATATATGTGGAATGCACAGTATTGTGCAAATCTAGTTGGTTTTTCTCTGCTGATAGTTCAAGTGATGCCATGGATGTTGAAATCAGTTTGTAGTTGCTGTCAGAGGTGTAGAGAGGAGCTAGGACTTGAGCCTTAGTAGGTGAATCACTCAGGCACACACTGAACATACTTTTCCTCTCTTGTTAGCTTTGTTCACAATTGAGTCCTGCAGCTGGCACTGTTCTTAGAAAAGCTTTCCGTTCCCACAGGCACTTGATATAGCATCAGCTTTTGTCAGGATGAGTGGGCTGTGCAGATTGCTCTTTGTGTTTGTGTCTGTCTATGTGTACATATACAACAACATTTATTACATGCAATTTTAGGTGAATATGGTATGATTCTCTATGGTCATTTCAGTTATTCTTAGTGTTGTTTATTCTTCCTCCCTACAATAGTACCTGCACCACGCCCCCAGCTAAACCTCCCCACCACTTCTTTCCTTTCCTCTTCATATACTTGCATCTGCTATTCCTCTGTCTGGAGGTCGTTCCTCACTCCCATGATCCATCCCCTTTCTTTCTTAGTTTCTGTATTTACCTCAGGTCATATGCTCACAGCTGGACTTAGAGCTAGGAGCCCCAGAAGAGAGCGAACATACAGTGTTTATCTTTCTGGGTCTAGATTATTTCACTCTATATTTTCTGATTACATACATTCATCTGTAAATCTCATGATTTCATTTTCTTTACAGATGAGTAGTATTCCATAGTGTGTATGGACCACATTTTCATTATCCAGTCATCAGTTGAAGGAAATTTGTGTTGTCTCCATTTCCTAATTATTGTGAATTAAGCAGCAGTGAACATGGCTGAGCAGCGATCTCTGGATAGGACGTTCAATCCTTTGGGCACACGCCAAGGAGTGGTGTGGCTGGGTCTTGTGCCTGATTTATCTGATTTATTTCTGCTACTGTAATATAATATCTTCTAGCTTCCTTCTGTCTCATCCTTCACAAATCACAAAGTTCGGGGGGGGGGGGGGTTGTTGTTTGTTTGTTTGGTTGGTTGGTTGGTTTGGTTTGGTTTTGGTTTTTTGAGACAGGGTTTCTCTGTGTAGTTTTGGTGCCTTTCCTGGATCTTGCTCTGTAGCCCAGGCTGGCTTCGAACTCACAAAGATTCTCCTGGCTTTGCCTCCTAAGTGCTGGGATTAAAGGCATGTGCCACTGCTGCCCGGCAGTTCTCTGTCTGTTTGTTTGTTTGTTTGTTTGTTTAAGGCAGAACATTAACCCATTGTATATGTATGTCACAATTTTTAAATAATTCCTATTTTAATGGACCCTTAGGTTTTTCCCATATCATAACTGTTGTGAATAATCCTGCAATGGGATTTCTTTGACACATTGATTTTATTTCCAGAGTAATCCCCCTAATCCTAGTACAGTGGTTCCCAACCTTCCTAGTGCTGTGACCCTTTAATACAGTCCTCATGTTGTGGGACCCCATCCACCCCAAAATTATTTCATTGCGACTTCATAACTGTAATTTTGCTACTGTTATGAATTGTTATGTAAATATTTGATATGTAGGATGGTCTTAGGCAACCACTGAGAAAGGGTCATTCAACCCCCTAAAGAGGTTGAGACCCTTAGGTTGAGAACCATTGCTATAATGGGACTGTAATGGATCAGATGGTAATTCTAGTCTTAAAAAATTTGAGGAACTTTCTGTTGTCTAAAATGAGTTTTTCTACATTGGTTTTTAATGATATACAATGTTTTGGATATGCACAGTGTATGTGTGAGAATGCATATTCAAATGTGTGCACATGTATATATGCTTATGTATACATAGTCATAAGATGGTAAATAGGGGTTTCCTAAAAGTTCACATGGGAACATAGATTTATACTATTGAGTATGCACCCAAACCCAAATGGGCCAGATCAGTCATTGCCTGTAGTTCCTGGATTGTTTTCTTTTGTGTTTGAATAGAAACTGGCTGTTATCAAGTGTTTGACAAAGGAAAAACTTGTTCCCATTGTTTAAAGCAGACATATGTGCAGCCTGATGCAGGTGAGGGTCCTAGGGCTGCCAATGGGTTGTTAAGTTCATTGATCAGAGAGGGTGTGTGTGTGGCCCAAGCCTGGTGAAGTCCCAGGCTGCTAAGCCATTTCCCATGCTTGGCTGCATCATGCCTATTTGTTTCTGGTTGTTAAATATTAAATTTTAAAGAACAACTTTCTAACTTTATGCCAACTTAAGCATTGCCTAATGCTTACTGATTTAAATAACCTTGCTTGTTTCCTACTAATACTTTCTGTATTTTATTTTTAAGAATCCCATAGGAAGGATAAATCTGGCCAATTGTATCAGTCATCAGGTAGAACCAGCCAACAGAGAATTTTGTGCAAGACGCAACACTCTGGAATTAATTACCGTCCGACCACAAAGAGAGGACGACCGAGAGACTCTTGTCAGCCAATGCAGGGACACACTCTGTGTCACCAAGTATGTACTGGTCCCGTGTTGTTTCTGTCAACTAAGTAATTGCCAGCTTTAGTCTTAGGCTTGTGGAAAATATTAATGATGGTCTGGTTGAAGGTTAGCAAGCTGAACACAAAGCAGCTTGAGGAAAGGATTCCCCTGTCCCAGATGACTCTAGTTGTGCCAGTCAGCAAAGACTGCCCAGCACAGATGCCCAAGAAAAGCCTGAAGATGGTCTTCAGGGAGCGGGTTGTGATGAGGGGTGGAGGTTAGGACGTGACACAGTCTACTCATCCTGTTGCTGCCGGATAGAGATACGGGGATGTGTATAAGTCACTCGATAAGACCTGAGCTTCCATCTCAAAAACCGAGAACACTGAGAAATGAGTGTGAGCTATGGTTAGTTACGCAGCCAAGAGTGACAGTGCTCTGTTGTGCTCTTCCCCGTGGGGCTCTTGTCTTGGTTTGTAGGGATTTGTGTTCTCCTAGCAAGGGTGTGGGGCATGGAATGGTGGGAGGGAGGCTGACTTCTGCTTGCCCTTGCAGGAACTGGCTCTCTGCTGATACTAAAGAGGAGCGGGATCTCTGGATGCAGAAACTCAACCAGGTGATTGTTGATATTCGCCTCTGGCAGCCTGATGCTTGCTACAAGCCGGTTGGGAAGCCTTGAAGTGTGGGAACTTCCGCATCATGGAGAGGCTTCGATTGCTGTGTCAAAAGTGTCTTAAGAAGACATAGTTAGGAGCATCAGATTTACAAGTTGTATTTTATGCTTTAAATGTAAAGGGGTCTGTGCAAATATTCACTACATATTATGCAGTATTTATATCTTTTCTATGTAAAACTTCACCCAGTTTCCCTTGCATTCATAAGTGTTTGACAGGCAATTCATGAGTCTCATTTTCTAGAAACCTAATTAGCCAGTTATTCGTGACAAAAAAAAATCTTAATCAAGTTCAGAGTTGTCCTTTAGAGCTTTGCTTTTGAGGTATCAAGGTCTCCTCTAGGTCACAAACAGAAACCTCTGGTTTGATGATTCCCTCTCCAGCCTCAGTGGTTTTTTAAAGAGGTTGTGATCATTCATGGCTCATGAGATGGTTTGTTGCTATAGTACTGAATGCACTCTCAAAGAGTTTTGCAGAAACATGTTCAGTGATAGGGATAAGACAAGACAACAAAAGCTTATTAGTTTAATATGGACTTGGGGCTACTTTCTGAAGAGATGTGGAGATAGTGACACTATGTGATATTTGGAGCTAAGTATTTTGTATAGAAGCATTAAAAATCACATGGCTTGCATTCACTCCGTTTCTATTTATGCAGTGTGGTGCACATTTTCATAGTATTCAAGCTTTATTAAATAGTTATTTTTTCATCTAGCTTAGGGATTCCTCATTAACATTAGTTTTTCCTCTTATCATAAGAACAAATGTAAATTGAAGAACATTTACATAAAAAGATTTAAATTTTTACCAAGCTGCTGTGAATTACTACTTTGCTTGCCAAAGTTCTTGTCTTTTTCTTTCCTTTCATATCCATCTATGACAGTTTCTAGAAGTGTTTTGAGATCATTGGAAAAAATAGTAAGCCATATTACCTCTAAAAGCCCAATACCTTCTTGCAATTTAGAAATGTTGAAATGCATGGCTTCAGTTTTTCAGTACAGTTTGAATTTCTTCTCTGACTGTTAATTATTGATGGTTTCATTTATAAACACTAAATCCTATTACCTGCCATTATATTTCTTACTCATCTAAATGTGTTTTTTCTTATGTATATTACAAAAATATTTTATGACTGCCTACATAAATAAATAATTGTAAATGGTCAAAAGAATCGTGTATTTAAGAAATGCTGTGTGTGGTGTAATTGCTGGTACCCTCCATGTTTTCCTCTCCAGCCTAATGTTTCCCTTACTGAACGTATTTGGTGGTGGGGTTAAATGAGCAGGGAATTCCAGAACGTGGTGATGGAGTGAGTATTTGGAGAGGCAGTGGGTGAGACTGACAGTGATCAGCAGCTAGAACAAGGGACGGACTGAATGGGACTGAGGAGGTGGTCCTTCATACTACTGTTTCTTTTCAAATAGTCATTGCCTGCTGTGGTGCAGAAATGCAAGAGGCACTACACAGTGACAACGAAATGTCTTCTCGTTCTCAGACCTGCTTTTTTCACTTTTTAATTATATGTATTTGCTGGAGCCTGCCAACAGTCAGCTGGGTATCTGGTTGAGGGTGTGTGGATTGGAGAGACAATGAAGAAGACAGAACAGAATGGAGAGGTCTGCTGGTCAATGCCGGGCAGCCCCGAGTTTATTTCACAGTCAGCTTATACACAGTCTTGAAGGACAGAGGTGGAACAATGCACTGCACAGGCATCAACCACCATCTATCCTGCCTTGTGTCAAGGAGCAGGCAGTTTCATTTTCTATCTCAGTGTACCTCTGGCTGGCATCAGCAGCCTGCATCTAGCTAGATAGTGTGTCCCTTCCCATGGGCTAATCAGGACTTTCTCACAGCCCTGGAGCAAACAAGCTTGAACTCTATTGACTCAGAATAGACTTCAGATTCAAACTGGGAAACTGAGTCAGTTGTGGGCTCCCACATGTATTGCATGGATATTCATTACAAATATGTATAGTCTTTTGTACAGAAATGTTCCATATATACTGTTTGTAATGTAAAGAAAAAAAACCAAGTATGTCTTAAGGCTTGACTGATTTTCATATATATAATTTTATATATGGAATTAAGTTTAGTGTATATGTTGATTACTTTTCATGGTTAATGAAACAGTCTAAAATCACCTGAGTTAGAGAGTCTTTTTGGTTTTTTGAGACAGGGTTTCTCTGTGTAATAGCCCTGGCTGCCCTGGAACTTGATTTGCAGACCAGGCCTGGCCTCAAACTCACAGAGATCCGCCTGCTCCGCCTCTCAGGTGCTGGGATTAAAGGCGAGTGCCACCACCACCTGGCTTGAGTAGGGAATCTTAATGAGGAACTGTCTAGATGAGGGTGGCCTGTGAGCATTCTGTGGGGGACATTACTCTGTGTGTGTGTGTGTGTACATTAGTGTAAGCATGTGCATGCACAATACGACATTGAATTCTCTGGAGCTGAGTTGGCAGACCCGGGTGCTGAGAATCAAACTTGAGTCTTGTGCAAGAGCAGCAAGCACTCTTAACCATCTCTTTAGCCCCGTGGGTGTTGTTCTTAATTGGGTGTAATTGAAATGGAATGTGGGGCAGCACCATTTCACATACATGCCGGTCTCTGGACTGAATAAGAGGCAGCTGAGCCTAGGTCTCAGGAATTATTTCATTGCTCTCTGCTCTTGACTGACTAGCTTCTTCAAGTTCTGCAGCCTTGGCTTCCTAGCAGTGATGGAATGAAACCTGGGATTGTGATCCAATAAATTCTCACTTGGGTTGCCTTTGTCGGGGTGTTTTATCACAACAGGAAACAAAACCAAAACAAGGTGATTATGGACCATCAAGTTGGAAACATTAACAAGCAGCAGAAAATATGACTGATGATTCATTGTTTTCTGCTTAGAGGTTCTTTGTTAAGCAGTTCAACAGATAAGAACATTCTGGAAGTATGATGTGGAAAGAGAAACCATAAGAAAAGAAACACTGTTCTTCAGGTAAAACATAAAAGGAACAGCCAAAATTTGTTTTTTTGTGAAAGAACAGTAATTGAGTCTGGAAGATGAAAAGCACCTTGAGGTCCTGACCAAACTGCTAAGGTAGACTGATGTAAAGAACTCCCTGAGGCAGCCAGTTCAGTGCATGGTTCTGACAAAAGTCTGTTACAGTAACATCCACACACGGAGAGATGATAGACTTGATTGCATTAATAAAATACCTTTCTGAGAAGTAGTGGAAAGGTAAGATTTAACGTGTGTGTGTGTGTGTGTGTGTGTGTGTGTAAGAGAGGCCATGTATGAAAATAAATGAAACCCATTATTATATATACTATGTTAACGTGCTAATAAAATATTTTAAAACTCCTTCCTTACAAATATCTGTAGATAAAGTAAACACAAAAGGTGATTATTCACAACATAATAAAGAATGTGCAAAATATAAAACACTGGCTATCATTGAGCGTTTATTGTGTATCAGGTTATCCTTGGTGTTGCATGCATTATTTTACCAACCTAATGAAATGAACATTAACACTAAATTAACATTTCTGGAACATTGCAAGTGACAGATATATGTAACTCTCATGCTCTATTCCAGAATCCACATGATTCACTATTTCATTGTGATAGTTCTCAAATTAGTGAGGAAAAGAAAATCTAACCTAGGTAAATAATGTTATTGGTAAGTGAACATATACAAACAAAGATCCAACAGATGTAAAAATAATAAATTAACAGAAAAAGACAAATTTAAATGGCCACTGGTTGGCTGTAAACTCTTCCACTCCTGGTGAGAACAGAAACTGATAGAGCTTTCGTGATAAGAACTGGTAAAGTCACTGGTTGTGATAACTTTGAAAGGGAAAATGGTAAAATAACCTGGGAATCAATAAAGTTACAAATTCAAAATAATCTACAAAGCATTAAGGAATTAGGGCACACTTTTTCTACAAAACACTGCATAGTGTTAAAAAAAAAAAAAAGACTGAATTAGACCCCTATTCACACTGATCGGGAAAATTTTCCAGGACATCTGGACAGAGGGACGTGTTGTCAACATGGAAGTGGGACACTGACAGCTGGTGGAATACGGGAGGACCCACCGCAGTTTTCCCATGGGAGAGGGCTAGGGATTTGATTCGGTCTCAGGCTGTTTCATAGGATTACAATGAGAATATTATCATTGCATTGAATATTTGCATTGAATGTTTTGTACATGGATTTGGGAACACTTTAGAAATTAGAATGAAAAATTGAGTGAGTGTAGAGCCTGGCTCTGGCTCTGAGGTGAGGAGCCAACTGGAATTGAGTGGGCAAACACTGAAGGAAGGCTAATTTTGGAAGCAGAAATGGCTCTTACAATGCTGACAGGAGAGAACCAAAAGTAAAGAAAAACATGAAAATACTGTTGAAGGATGGATGTGGGATGCAGGGTATAAAGAATGTTGTGGCTTAGGAAGTAGGTAGACTCCAGAACCCAGTAGCCTCCCTTTATTGAGAACTGGGTACCCACACTAGAAGTCATGAGGGCCAGGCAGCTGTAGAATAATCTGTAGGCCCTGCTCTTCCTGGTCCATGAAATGGTGGGAACCACCTTGAGGCAGGGAGAATTGCAGTGTGAGATAATGCACATCTGTTTGCAAGTACAAAGTCAGGCACAACCAACCTCAGCTGGTAAAGAGACTGCAAAGGCCTCTAGGCCAGAGATCCCCAGTTCCTAAAAGAAATTATACTCTCAAGAGAGCCTAAACCCTAAGAGACCATCTTCCACCTCCCTGTTTTTCCAGCTGATGCCTGCATCTTTCATCAAGCTGAGTGTGGTGGTGCTGAGACAGGGAGAACATGAATTAGAGAACAGCCTGGGCTACAAGCCCAGCCTCTGTCACAAAAATTTAAAGATTTTAACATTTCAATGTACCAAGTCATGTAGGATGTAATTCCATCATTTTGGGAAGATTAACATTAAATGTTACATTCTTTTGCTCATACTAAAATAATCTAAGTGCAATTGCAATTTGATTGTCCCAGCATCTACTAAAAAAATACATAAATGGCCGGGCAGTGGTGGTGCACACCTTTAATCACAGCACTCGAGAGGCAGAGCCAGGCAAATCTCTGTGAGTTCGAGGCCAGCGTGGGCTACAGAGTGAGTTCCAGGAAAGATGCAAAGCTACACAGAGAAACTTTGTCTTGAAAAGGTGCAATCTCTTTCTAAAGAAGAAAGGGGATCGTATAGATATGATAGGATGAAAGGGTAGATTATTGAACTTATTTTTAAAGAGCAACAACTTGTTTAAAATGTTTTACATTGGTATAGATTTTAATTTATTGATACTTATTTAAAGTTAATTTTGTTATACTGTATGTATATTTCTAGTTTAAGGTATTATGTTTGTGCAGCTCATTTAAATTATAATGGATAATTAAGAAATACAGATTAATAATTAGTCTTCTATGATAGTCAAACTTATAGTCATGTTAAGTTTTTTAGGTGTACATAGATATATTTCAGTAAGGTAGGTAATCTTCAAACACTTCAAAGACCTGCAGAATATGGCATTTAAAATGTTTTAAAAACTAGCCGGGCGGTGGTGGCGCACGCCTTTAATCCCAGCACTCGGGAGGCAGAGGCAGGCGGATCTCTGTGAGTTCGAGGCCAGCCTGGGCTACCAAGTGAGTTCCAGGAAAGGCGCAAAGCTACACAGAGAAACCCTGTCTCGAAAAACCAAAAAAAAAAAAAAAATAAAATAAAATAAAATGTTTTAAAAACTTAGTCTGCTCCTGGCAGCACTGATTTACTTCAGAGAGTAAGATGGGCATTGAAGACACCCCATATAGAGTTTATCTTCTTCTTGGCAAAAATAGCCATTTGGGCAAGAAACTGTTCTTGCCTGGACTACTTGACAAAATGTTATATCGACTGGACATGCAGGACCCATAGAAAAGTGACCACTGAACTTTGCAAGGTGAGATGGTCCTTCAGGTTCCTGCTTCACAAAAGAAACTGCCAGACATTCTACAGGACACAGAAAAATGACTGAGAGACTAGCCCTATGGGCTGAAGATGGATGCCCCAACGTTACAGAGAAACTTTGGATGACTGTCCAGGCTGGCAGCTGTCTCTGTCATTCTAGATTTTTGGAAGTTGCTTACAATGCTCTTCTTGTTTACTTAGGTACTATTGTATCCTTCTAAGGTCTTTGATGTAGTTTAAGACTAGATAGTTATAATTTTCCTTAGTTCTGATAACATATAAATTACATATGAAACCTTAGACTCACAAATATAGGATAGATAAAAAATTTTTAATTTTACAATATACAAATAGACTAGATATTATAACTAATTCTTGCTTGATAACTTTTTTTATAAGTAATTTTAATAGGTTAATGTTAAAATCTTCC